GCTGCAGGGGGTGGGGATGGCGATTTTTTGTTTTTTGTTTTTTATTTTTCTTTTTTATTTAATGAGTAAGGATAAAATAGTCTTTTTTAAGTGCAGTAAATATCAAAAGAGGGAGCGATAAATATCAACACCCTAATTAATATCATAACTACACTCATCAATCAATTTTCGTGTGTTTAGCAGTCATTCATTAAATTGATGGAATAGATAGTTTATTTATAAAATAATAGTGATTTGATATTGATAGTTGATATCCATTAATAAGCACTATATAAGAATAGTTGCATACTTCACACCTCCATCAAAATCCCCAGTGACAATTTCATCTGGGCCGTCGCTTTTTTCTTCTTCCTTGAAAAAAATTAAGCATTTCAATGAGATTCAGGCAGGTACCCGTGCTCCAAGAGATCAGAAAGTACGCTTCTCATTTTATCCAAAGAAACGGGCTTTAGCACGACACCTTTCATGCCGACTCGAATGCAGTTGTCTTTTGTTACTTTATCGGGGTTCCCGGTTAGGGCCACAATCATGGGCCTCTCGGCCCGTTGCGAGAATTTCTCTTGAATTCTCACGGCCACCTCGAAAGTATCAATCCCGGGTACGTTAATGTCGAAGAACAAGACTTTATGTTCTTGATTGACGGCCCGGATGCACTCATCTGCAGATCCAACGGCCAGCACGTCACATCCTAGGTGGACCAAAAGGCCCTTTGTCACCATACGGCCCACACTAGAAAAAAATTAACAAAATCAGTAGGAGTTAGGAAATGTTTAATTACTGAAAGATATCTACATTTGAGGAAGATGAATTCGTGTTTAGTAACCTATTGTCGTCCATCACAACAACTTTGAGGCCCGAGAAATTCAGTTTGGCCTGATTTGCAGGAAATTTGGGCACAATGGACAACTTGGACTCATTTGGGCGTCCAGGAAACCCGAGCTTGACGATAAATATTGCAGTGGTACCCCTGCCGAGACCCTCACTCTCGATCCAAATGTGCCCTTCCATGAGATTTACAAACCTGATAACACAAATTTGTAATTTAAAATAAAAATAAAAATAATAATAATTAAAACAATAAAAAGAATGTGTCTGCTTATAAGAACCTACACAAGGTGTTTCGGACAAATTAAGACGGCAGAGGTACCAAGATTTTCAGAATTACTTTTGTAAGTAAAAGAACTTAAGTGTAATTAGAATCTGGGATTCATAAACAAATGAAAAATATCTGAAGAAAATTCACCTCTTACAAATGGCGAGACCAAGGCCAGTGCCGCTAGAGTTCTTTGCGGCAAGCGGCTGAGACTGTACGAATTTCATGAACAGCTTGGGAATATCCTGTGGGTTAATTCCTGAGCCGGTATCTTTTACCTAAACCATGACAAACATGATTATTTAGAAACTTCTGACGATTTCAAAACCAAATTTTCAGCAAAAAACACATCAATCAATATAGCAAACCTCTATGCGTAGATAGAAGTGATTATCACTTGGGACAGCAAAAAATTCAGGGGCCCGGGGATCTCTTAAAGAGTCCGATTTTGCCACAAAAGCAGTTATGGAGATACCACCCTCTTTCGTGAACTTTACAGCATTACCAACAACATTCAGAAGAACTTGCATCAGCCGCTTTTCATCACCAACGGCATACTCAGGCAACTCAGGGGATAGGTTCAATATAACAGATAGTTTTTTCACCGAGGCAATAGGCTTTATCAAATTGAGCGCCTGCAAGTCGATAATCAAATTTCTGTTAGAGGTTTCTTCATCATCAAAGGTTTGTATAAAAAATATAAAGTGAAGAATCGACAATTTTTTTATAAGTGAATGAGTATGAGATGAAAAAGAAATTGACAAAATATGGTTTAAAGTAAATAGTAAAATAATAATTGAATACAATTGGTAGTTTGAAATATGTGTTAGATGAATAGTGAAATTTATCAGAAAATGTGCAGAAATGATGGATCATTTGGTTATTTCTTTTCTTTTTTACCATTCTCTAAAAATGTGGAAGAAAGAGTGAAGTAGGTGAAGAGTGTTCAATTCATGATGTCAACTTCTAACACCAATTCGCAAAAACTACCAATTTGGTCTCTCGACTACTGTGTGCATCACTTTCTTTTAAAAGCAGAAACTTTTAAAAGGACAAAAAAAAAAAAAGAACAGAATACACGAAAAGGAATATACTACTACTCGTACCTCTCTGAAGAGGGAATGAAGGCCAAAAGTTGCCATTTCGAGCTGAAGACTACCGTCCTCAAGCCTGGAGAGATCTAAAACATCGTTAATAAGGGTGGCCAAGAGGTTGCTGCTCTTGAGGATTGTCTCGACCATGAGACGTTGCTCAGGCATCAGCTCCGTCTCCTGCAGCAAGGACGAAAGGGCAATTATGGCGTGCATTGGGGTCCGCATTTCATGATTCATCACCGCCAAGAAATCATTGCGGGCCCGCACAGCTGTCTCTGCCTCCCGCCTTGCCAGGTCAAGGGCCACGTTCTGCTCCATTAGGAGATCCCGAGCCCTCATTGACTCCTCCAAAATCGCAGCATGCGAAAGTGCAACCGCAACCTGGTTTTCGAACAATATCATAAAATTGATATTTAGAGACATCATTTTGTCAAATAATTACAAGAATTACCCTTACGGTTTGGCCAGATCACAAGAAACACCAAAAAAAATAAAAAAGAATAAATAAATACATTGATGATGCAATTGGTGAAATAGATAATTGTATCAATGGAGTATGAAGTGTATTTAATATTGAACAGAACAAGTTAATCTAAAAAGAAACGAAAAGTTACAGCAACAATCAGACTAGGGAAGCACAAAATTTGCCTTCTTTTTTGACATTTGCTTCTCCATTTGTGGAATATGACTAAAATCAAACAGCAGTAACATACTCAGTTTGCCCAGACTAAACATAACAAATGCAACTGAAAAGCACCCTCCACATAGAGAAAGACCATTTGATATTCATATCATATAGACTATCGATAATTTTACACAACCAACCCCATTTTATATTAGATACAAATCGACATCATAACATCATCAGGACACCCAAAAATGAATTAACAAATACCATCCACAATTCCAAGATTCTTTTTCCTTTTATTATTATTTTAAAACACGAACCTGGTCTGCCACCACCTCAACAAGCTCGAGCTCATGCACGTGCCACTGCCTGGCGCTGTCCGAGGGCAACATCAGCACCATCAGCGCGTATCTCTTGGTTGAGAGCTCAGGCCAGTCATGTATCTGGAAATTCGACAGGTGGAGCAGTGGGACCCTCACTGCCACCACCTCCCCAGGCATGTACTTCCCGGCGGGCCTCAGCCTGGCCACGGGCGAGCTCGGTGATATCTCCACGGCCCGGCTCGTGTTGAACACCTGGTTGATAACGGGCAGCTGTATGGGCACCGTGAACCCGACCGGGTTCTGGTGATGGAGCGTGTACGACAGCTGGAGCTCCAGCCCAGTCCGGGTCGGCATCCACAGGGCACACTCCTCCAGGCCCAACGTCCTCCCGAGCTCGACCAGCGTGGTTTTCAGAATAGTATGCCTGTCGAGAGTACTTCTAATCTCGTGTGTTAGCATCCGCACGTGCCGGCCCGTTTCTTCCTGGGTCCGGATCAGGCCCATTTCCCGATCCAGCTCGGCCGCTTTATTTTTCAAAAAGAGCTCTCTTGTTTTGACGCTCAGTAAATCGGGGATTATGTGGACAAGCAAAAGAGCAGTCGCGCACGAGACGACAGCTGTCAGGATCTTGGCCGTGGTCATGACAAGAGCTACGGTCCTCGTGTGCATGGTGAAAGTCCAGAGGTTGATGAGGTGGGTGGCCCCACAGAGGACGATGAAGGCGCCAAACTGTACGAGGACCCACCGGTAGGGGAACACGGCAGATTTCTTTACGAAATAGATTAGTTCGAGGGGGATAGAGAAGTAAGCGAGTGCTATGAAGAAATCTGATATATACTGGTACTTCATCAGTAGCTCGTCGGTCGGCCATGGTGGCTCAATGCAGTTACAAAGCTCCATGCCCCCTAAGAGGAAATCTCTCAACCCCTAATTTGCCCCTTTGTCTATTCAGCTGCGGCGGAAAAAACATACACGCACAAAATGAAAAATGATTTCTTTAAATGAATAAAGCGTAAAGTTTGGAATTTTCCTGATGCCTACAGTCCACCTATGAGTTGATGTTTCTAACATATATCATGCTTCCATTTTGTTGATAGTCTTGTAAATGCAAATTATATAAGGGCGTATAAGGAACTCATGTTTTAATTAATCTATTTAAGGCCACACTCCTATATTTGTGGAATGAAAGTATTAACCCCTGCAGCATGGAGGGAGTATATATATATATAGCATGTTATGGAAAAAGAAAGACTTTGAGAAGCATTACAATGCCGGATAATTAACAAAAATAGATAAGGCCTTTAACGATGTTACGAAATGAAAAAATCTCGACAAACAGTTTCCAACAACCATGACGCTAACAACGAGATCATGCCAGATTTCAAACAACTAATAGTGGGATAAGAAAATTCTGTTCTTGCGCGCCGTGTTTTTGCACGCCAAAGTTCGGGATCGAACATTGTGACACATTCAGATGGAGAACAAATATGTTAAAAAAGAGAATGCATTCACTCCATCCACTTCCCCTAACCCATATACTTATTTACAACAAACCAATCAAATGTATCCAGCTAAAAACTTAGCTCATGTGACGAACTAGGGATAATTAACTAAAAGTTTGCCAAAGAAAAGCAACTAAAATCAGTATCTTCATCTATTTAAGTGTACCTAAATAAGCAAAAACCAGGCAATCCAATTACTCTGCATTCTGACAACCTCAACCAAACAAACAAAGCATTCGTTACTATAAACAAGCGACAAATTTCAACTAGACCAAGATGATACCAAACCTCAATTGCATAAACCTTGGACAAGAAATCCAAGAGGAAGCCCTCATATTTGAGCCCTTTTCAAAGAAACTAGCAGCGTCAACAGAACAATTTCATAATCATTTTGAAGCTGAAGCTGAAGCTGAGAACAAAAATCAAGAACGAACCTTTTCAAAGTGAATCCGATCCAGCAAACCAAACCAACACAACCCCGAGTCAAGAACTCATGACTCACCCAACATTTTTCCCCGTGATGTCTTGAACAAAGATTCATTCCTGATGATGGAGAAGAACACAGGTTGAAAAGGTTTCATTTGTCAAACGTTAACAGCATAATTACTGTAATACCAACTATGGCAGTAGTATAGTAGCATCTCAACGCTTTGTTATTATTGTTATTTTTTTTTTTTTACAGGGATCTTCCAGTTTTCAGATCCACACATGGGAACCGATTAATCCGAAATCGAGCCAAGTAGTACTCGAACACGAGACTACCGGTTTCCAAGTTGTTTCAAACAAACAAGAGGGAGAGGGAGAGAGAATGCGTCTCGGTTCCATGTATTGGAATGAGGAACGATAGAGTGACGGAGCTGTTAACGGTGCTGATGCTGACTGAAGTTAAAGGTTTAGATCTGACGGTCAGAATTCGCGAGCCATTCGCACCGAGCTGTGAGGATAGCAGAAAGAAGGCCCCATACTAGTCCTTTTTTTGGGGGGTTGGAGGATAAATATGCATGGGCTTTGGTTTGCTTAATGGGTGCCAATAATTATAATTTAAATCACTTCTGCAAAGCCCATTAACTTATAAACTAGGGAGAATTTTATGGGAAAATTACATACATTACCCCTATATAGATATATTTATTACATATATCCTATATGTGGAAAAATTAATCAAAATAGGAATGAGTAGTGGTTTTATTTTTATTTGTACAAGAGTAGGATTCCAATCAGCAAATCCATTAGAGCATGATTGGATACAAATTCAATCCAAATTTTTTTTTTTCACTTTTAACTCAACCACTTTTTTTAACTCAACTTTAACTCAATTTACTATCATCAATATTATTAATATAATTAAATAATATCAATCAATTATTCTTACACACAACATCAACCTTAATTCACTATTCATCTACTTACATAAATTTAACTAACTATCACATCACATCTTCTCTCTCTTACTTTTACATCAATTTAATTTTAATCATTTTATTTTAAATATTATTTTATTATATCCACTAACAACTAACCATACCTATTTTTTCAAATTTAACCAACCCAAATAAAAAATTCAATCAAAACAAAAACAACTTTATATCCAAGCATGCTCTTACACTCTTCATATATTGATTAGTGGTATCAAATTTGATAATTTATCTCTCCATACAATGAGCATGGCATGATGGCCCCCCGTAACCAACGCACCAAATTTGATATGTTTCTCTCTCCATCTGTTTCTCTCTTCATGTTTATGTTTTTCTTTTTTTTTTTTTTGTCTTTCTCCGTCAAATAATTTTGTTAAAAAAATTCAGATATACTGTATATATACTTCCTCATAACCGCGAAAGTATGTTTAGATATACTATATATATACATTAGATAAATATGATCTAACATTTCTCTAATATTAACCGTATAGTTATACATAAAATAAACATCATATAAACAACACTTAGATAAACATGATCTAATATTTCTCTAATATTAACCGTATAGTTATACATAAAATAAACATCATATAAACAACACTTAGATAAACATGATCTAACATTTCTCTAATATTAATTGTATAGTTATACATAAGATAAACATCATATAAACAACACTAAAACGATTTATAAATATAATATACAATTCTGAATGATTGCAATATCCAAACCGAATGTACTTATACATTAGACAAACAACATATGTCTACTTTACATTACACCGAATTGAACTTAGAACTTATCAGTTCAAACATATTTCAACTTTACATGATATTTATAAAGTTCAATCAACAACTTTTGGCACTCCAAAAAACAACACAGTATATATTGTGTATACCTAACGTATAATTTGTGCAAATGTTTACTACACTCCTTGTGAATGATCCCGTCTAGCACCTTTTTTTTCTGAACGACGTCGTGATCCTTGAGACGACGTCGCAAGGTAGCACGGCGAGATCGGTGCCCGCCGCCGGAGAAGGTGATTGAGCTCTCGCGGAGAATATGGAGAGGTGGTTCTTGGGGGGTTTTGTCGGGGCCGGCGGGTTGTCGGAGTTCTCCGGATGAAGGGGAGGGGTGTGAAGTGGCGGTCGTCCGATCTGCATGGCCAAGTCTTATGCTTCATATGGCGGTGGATGTCGGCCAAAGATTTGGCTTCGATTTTTCTGCGCTTGGCCATTGAGATTTCAGACTGAGAATCGATTTTAGTGAAGATGGAGTTTTATTGTTTCTTGTGAAGTGTTGATAGCCGAGTT